CTACCCAAAATTATGCAAATTGAGCCAGAATGAACTGTGGGCTATTGATGGCCTTATTTTCGACTATTTTAAACCACGAATATCTTTTTGGACGTCAACTTCAAAATCAAGAAGACCCCTCCAGAGCCCGTCTACCGGGACATCCATTTTCAACCCAAAATTATGCAAATTGAGTTTCAATCGGCATAGTTTATCTACTTATACGACGCACACGCGTAATACAGTTATATATTATTACATATTCGGAAAGCTTATGAAAAGAACTTAAGTTAAAAATAAAAATCGTCAAGATTTGTTGAAAAACAACGGAGTTGCAGACTGTCAAATATATTATTTTCAAGCGAATTTTGGTTTTTTAACGGCAGGACTATGAATATTATCGTCATTTTCTGTGGACTCACTGTCGTTCGCTTCCCCCACCCTTCCACCGCGCCACAGCTTGCAGAAAAATCAAGTGACCCACTGACTTTTAACAATATTTCTTATGCACTTAACATACTTCCACAAATACAATATTTTTATCTGGGAAAGTACTCGGGTTGCCGGTTATGACAATATTTTTTTTTGCCATATCACGCGCAATATCAAATTATACCACCATGTAAACAATCTTCCCCCCATTTTTATGACTGTGGAAACTTTAGCATCTATAGTGATAAATTAAGCTTGTCGAAACAAAAAGTCGCGTCTAACTCTATATTTCCTGGCCTATATAAATAGGATTTACTCTTGACTAAGAGAAAAAATTTATTACCCATGTAACAGTTGCATGTTTTAATGTAACCTACAAAATATGTCACCTCGAAGTTGTGACCATGTATTGTTTTATAGTTTACAGAAATTCCAACTGTTATTTCATATTGTAGGCTTTCATGATATATGACACCGTATGAATAGCTTCATTTATTAAACACACGATTGCAATATTGAGATGACATATCGTGGTGTTGTGTAACATTCTGAAGATGAGTCCTTAATTATAAACACTTACCGTATCATAATTTTTAGTTTCTACGCCATGCTTTGTTATTAGTGACACTTCTTGTGTAATTCCTCTGTGGTCTAAAATAAGAAAAAAGATACTTCAGTATGAAGAGGTTTCCCACTGAAAATTGTACGATTTTTTGAAGGATTGTAAAAAAACAATAAAACATCACACATGGGACTTCCAGATGTCATTTTTTAAATTCTAAACACAAGTTGTGTTATAAAATATTTTTGAAATACGTAAATTTTTCTGATTTCAAATATATAATTATACAGGCTGTTACAATTTCGCTTCTCACTACAGAGATCCCGTGCCCATAGTTATTTCTAGGTTTCTCAAGTACTCAAAATTCAAACAAATTTCAATTTAATTTTCTTCACGATATTCATACAAATACATCTGACGTGCTCTTTCACAGTAGCGATTACAGGTATAATCAATTCCAATCATATTATGCTTATCTTCATTTTCAACATTTGCCAAAACGGAAACGTTTTTGAACATTTACCTACTGCAATTTTTTAATGTAAGTATAATTATTCATTTGGAATTTTGGTTGCACATATGCAATTTTAAGAATTAATTAGTCATAATGAAATTAAAATTGTAATAGTTTTAATTCTGACGCAACACCTTATCGAAATATGTACCAGGTGATGGAGATTAAAACTCTAATGTTTTATTGTAACGTGTGATGGTAATAGTTTAAATAACTAGGTGGATTTCACAGGGTCTAATGACACGAGTGTACGATAATTCAATAAACATAGAAATCTAAATAAAAAATTTAGATAAATTTGGAACAAATACATTGAAGATGAATTTTTTGAGACAAAACGTTTGAATCTGGTTCGGGCTGAAGCAGTACAGTATTGGGTGGTCATGAAGGTTTGCAAAAAATGTAATTAAATTTCCAGGGTCGTAAAAAAATGAAGCTGATGATGGTCCTATTGAGACAAAACGTTACATATAAAAATTAATTATACCATTCGGTAAATTGCAAAAAGTTGCCACGAGAGTGATCTTTTTTTTTTCAATATCACCTCAAACAAGGCTGAAATGAAACAAAAATGGATTAAAAAATTTAGGTTTTTTCAAATATTTTGAAAACTAACCATGTTTGAATTTTAGAGGCATAATGTTGGTCCCCTGATTATGTAACTTTGCCCCCATTTAAGCTACTTTGCATCTCTTGCCGTATCCGAGATCCCTATAGTGAGAAGCGACTTTGTAACAGCCTGTATATGGTTAGTTTTAGCAGTTTTATGTAGATAAGATATTTTAGGTTAACACTATTTACAACTGAACCCCTGTTCAGTAATTATTAAACTTAAATAAAATTGTAAACAAACCAATTGTTGTTGGGTGTTGTGATCAAGACTATAACCCTATTTTTTTTATATTTGTGGATGATAAATAAACCTCCTCTCACACGTGCATTTATTTTGCTTAATTTTTTGAAAGGCACACATGCACACACACAAAAATACAAATATATTACTAGGTGTTTCATTAAGAAAAAAACAACTTGTATGCAGAAGTCACATATACAATGTTCATTTGTTTTTCTTTAAAATCTATCTTTGGGGATCCCAAAAGATCATTCCGAGGACAATAGGACTTTTTGATACTAGTGTGATGAGTGTTAAAGTACATAAAACGAAAGCATATCTATACTATAGACTTGTTTATAAATAAGCCGTATATGAAACAGTTTTATAAAACTCTGAAAAACATTCTCTTTGGAAACACAGATGTTTTCTGAATTTTCTCATATCTCATACTACTCCAGAAGCATGCCACACTTTATTAACTTTTTTAATACTGATTGCATACATTTAGTTATTACAAATACTAAATTATTTATTTATTCAATGAGATAAACAGAACTACCTTAAAAATAAAATTATAATAAAATTTTAATATTATTTCCATCATTTTGAATTAGTATATTAAACCATTTAATAAGTTCATCGATAGCATTTTGTAGGGTCAATCTATTTAGGGTGGCATGAATTTAATTAAAAAGATGTTATACAGTGTAGGAAAGTACCGATGGTCTATCAGAAGTCACGTGAGAACGATAAAGTAAGCCATAGAAATCCATGTGATAGACAAGGATGGCTATAATAAAGGCGTCTAATAGTCAACGCCCATTTCGCCCTTCCACAAATAAGATCCACTTCTTATTTGTGGAAGGGCGAAATGGGCGTTGACTATTACATGGATTTCTATGGCTTACTTTATCGCTCTCACGTAATTTCTGATAGACCATCGGTACTTTCCTACACTGTATATTCAATTGGATCATCAATAAAAACAATACTTTTTAAATAATTCCACAAAAAATACTCTATAGGTGTTAAATCAGATGACTGAGCTGGCCACCTAACAATGCTTTCATGGATACTGATACAAACAAGTTTTATTATTTTTCAAGAAAATTTCATTTTTCTTAAAGGTGCAACTTCAAGAAGTCAGAATTAAAATGTAGCTATCATATTAAAATTTAAATAAGCATGATTATCAAGAAAATTTAATTTTTTTAGACGATAAAAAACAACTGATTGTATCCATCAGTCAGATTTAAAGTAAAAATACTTTAGTTTTTTTTAGATAGGCAAATATGATTTTTTTTAGTTATTTATTTTAGTGGCTAAGTGCCTACATTACTAATAGTACAATATTTACACTGGAATCTAGACACAGATTAACTAATGGTAAATAAAAAGTTTGAGCTTGCTTATAGCTTTATACAAATAAAAAGTTATAAAATATTGTGGAATATTGGAAATTAATGGAATAGTTTAACTTATTTTTTTTTCCTCTCTATGTACCTACATATCCTAAGAGCTTCAGGTATCCCTAAAGGTACGCATACCATAACAGTTCAAGATAGTAAGTTAGTAAGTTCAAGATAGAAGTTCAAGTAGTCAGCAAATGTTAATTATATTTATGAAAATTTTGACAATATGTTTGTTAGACAAGTTACTTCTGTACACATTAATTAAGTGGTGGCAATAACCATCTTTCTGTTCGATACGTTTAAGTTACGCTTGATTCAATCTTCATGTTGTTCAGACCATGCCCAACATGTCTACACATATAAGTTTTCATAAAACAGTTGCACAGTGTATGGAATTTATAACTATATGGAAAAACTTACTTGGTGGAACATGTGAAATGAAACAAATTTCATATGTATCATAACTTTCAGTGTTAAAAGAGAATTTTCCTTTAGAAATATCTTGCCTTTTGGCTAAAATATGTCCTTTAGAATCCGTAACCTAAAAATATTGAGTAAAGAATTAGAAATATGTATCCATTATTTTAAATTTTGCAAATACATACGACGTAATCAATGGTTTGTCCAGGAGCTTCTGAAACTTCAAATTCTCCTATTACTGGAACATTTTGCTGTAATTCTTCTTTTAAACATTTTTGTGTGTTAGGCTCCAAGTTCCACATAATACAATTCACAGCCATTAAATAAGTCAAGAACAGCACAATAGAATACCAGAAATCCATTTTTAATTACTTTTTTATGTTTATTATAATATTAGGCATTAACATTTACTAAAATTAGTCCACATGAACATACACACCAAAGATGAGGTGGCTCATGTCAACATTTTACTCGCGCATAGAATAATAAAGTAGCAGAACAAAATTCAATGCCAGTGAAATTAAAGAGACCACCATTGACCTCTATAATTAATGGATAGTGGTTAGGATGGGTACCTGCAGTAGTTGTATTTTTTTTACTAAATAATTTTCTTACTTCTGAGACTAACTACGACTAACTATAGCTAAGACGAAGTGAAGTAAAAAAGACTCTAAAAAGAATACATTTATAGATTCATGGTTTTAGATTAGTAAGCATTTTAAAAAGCTAGTTTAGTTGGGGTAAGGTCGGTTTCTAAAATTCTTTCAGTTATTTTCAGTTTTAAGCAAACTATTAATATGTAAAATGAACAAATTCTTTTGTAAGGTAAAGTAAGTATCTTAGTTAGTCTCCGTTAAAGTTGATTAAAAGAATACAGCTAATATTGGTGAGAACGATTGGGGGAAACGGGGGAAACAATATCAATTTATAGACAGTCTAACAGAGAAGTAGTTTTAATAGTTTTATAATTCTTTGATTTTTTTTTTAAATATTCTTGCCTCTAAGAAAAATCTAAATGACATTTTATTTTTGATATAGAAAGCAGTAGCAAATAAAAAAGATATTGTTTAAGACTGCATTATTGCAACAATGACGTATATAGCAAAACTATCATATCATATCATTTTACTTTCCTAAGAAAAAACTCGACCGCAAAAAATCGATATATCTATTCAAATCGATTTTTGAATTGATTTATGGATTCACAGAAAAAATTGAATCGGAATATCGAATTGATATATTGAATTGGATCGAGATATCGCATCGAATCGAATCGGAATATCAAATTGAATCGGTATTAGGCTTGAAAATCGGTATATCGATTAGAATCTATTTATCGGAAAATCAAATTGGAATATCAATTCGAATCGATGTTGAACATTCATGTGTAGCTTAAAATTACTTGATTTTTTATTTACTTTACTGGTATAAATTTATTAAGACAGGATTTTTCTCTCTGATATTTCGATTTCTTAAATATTTTATTAAATCATCTTCAGAGAGTACACACGATCGGTATACATTTTTATAACATTCATTAATTATGAGTATTATGCCTATTGAAAAATTTTGTACACTTAATTTTATTTCAGTTTGGTAAAATGCAATTTATATTTATATCTATCTGATCGTTACATATAATAATATTCCAGTATTTTATATATTTGGTAGTCCAATAATGTGTAGTAAAATCGATACAATATTTCGCGAATCGCACAGACCTAAGGTTGACTATTCGAACATAACCTTCAATCTAAAATAATGTGTTTTCTTTTTTATAATAACCTATGGTATCTTTTACGTTCATTAAATGGTTTTCTTCATTTATCTTTGAAAATTGTCAAATTTGAGAGAAATCTGAAATGAGTGCAATTATTATTATTTATTTAAACAAACTTCCATTTTGACAGTTTATCATATGATAGCAAAATACTCGAAATAGACGTCTCATAAAGTAAACGGCATGGGATCCAGAGTTGGCACCAACGAACAAGGCGGCAACTTTGAACTGTGACGTCAGCTAAAGTGGTTTATAGCAGCACAACAGGCACGATGACCGGCTGGTTGCATCCGATTAATTTTTGGAGTTTTCAATTTAATATCATTTAAAAAAGCGATCCGAAAGTCTTTATTTCACTAACAAAATATTGAAAGATTTTTAAAATAAAAATTACACTCAATTTTGTTGTTAGACCAAAAACCGTCGTGAAAATGTTATACTCTTAATTTGTTGTATTTTAGTATAATTTTATTATTAAAATGTGTATAATATAAAGTAGGTAATAATAATGCAATACCTATAGAATACGACACAAAAACGTATTTTTTTCCAGGGATGAGAAGGGATTATGTATACAAGATTATAGAAAAGAAAAAAGAAATAATAGTTTAGGAGAATTTAAAAAAACAGGAACACAAATAGTAATTCTTTGAGCACATTAGAAAATAGATAAAACGTTATAAAAAAATTGAAATTTCAATAACCGATTTTATAAACATGACAAAAACAAATAATAGCAATTCCGTAACAAAACATAAACGATGCGCGAAGCATTACGTAAAAATACATATTTTTATTTCCTTTCATGTTACTGTTTCGACTGGAAATTACAATATTCTATATGTGCAAACAAGAAATGTTTTAAAATTAGATAATTTCTGGAAATATGTAAATATGCTGGATAATTTGTACACAAATAAAAACAAAACAAAATATTGGGGAGGGCACTATTTTTACATTATTTAGTGTGGCGTAGTCGTTGTTAAAAAAAAAAAAACACCGCGTAAGGAGTTTAACACAGAGCGGAAGAGATAAAAATCAGAAGGCGCGAAATCGGGAGAGTAAAGAGGGTGCGGCAGAACTTCCCAATTCAACTCCCGAATGGACGTTGTGGTCATGTTGGCGATATGTGGTCGCGCATTGTCACGTTGCAAACGAACGTCGTCTATGAGATCTTATTTGTTGAATAGTCGCGTGGAACCACCCGCCGTAATTGTTGGACATAGAATTCTGTGTTTACAGTTTGATTGTTTGATGAGAGTTCGTAATAATGAATCCCTTCTTTTTCTTTCCGCTGTTTCAAGTTCACGTACAGACAATTTGTCATCGCCAGTGGTATTACAATGAAGAAAACTTCTCTTATGACACGTGTTGATCGATGACGAAAGAGCAAAGCAGAGACAATTGCAGAGTGTTGATTCTTACTGTTTTCGTTCAAAACATGTGGGATCCATGGGACTTTTCCCATCGAATGCATGTGGTTTACTACTGTATTATAATCACATTCCATCTTCTCAAGTCAATTCTCTTGTTGATTGTCTTGGAGTGATTCACGTATTTACGGTTGAAATCACCTTCATTAAAATGCGAATACCATCGACGGGCCGTTTGTTCATTCATCGCATCATTACCATTGCTGCCTTCTAGTAGGCTTGTTTGGAAAATTAAATTGTTGTAACAGTACCTAAGACGTTACAACAATTTTTACTGTGAAAGAAAACCGCATTGAAATTGTTTAGAACTGTTAAGTTGGACAAAAGACACTTCAAATTTCGGAGAGTGAGTAATACAATACCTACCTGTTATTTTTAAAGCTGTTTTAAAATTTTTCTTTTTCGGGTTTTATGGTAATTGTGACAGGAACAATTTTTTAGAATTATTGTAAATGTAAGTATTTGTTTTTTTTTTATTTTAATATCTTAACGAATTTTATTAAAAACATTGATTGTATTTTAAAGCCCTGAGGATGGTGTAACACCGAAACGTTGGCAATGATTTAAAATATAGTGTTCTTTTATTTATTGATCTTTATCCCACTAAAACCTTGACTTGGATCTTTAACAAATTTGAATAAGGTAACAAGCATAAATAAAAAGTAATAAGTGAAATCCATTAAAAGAATAGTGTAGTTCAGTTTTCATCTGTAAGAATTCCAGTAAAATACATCCCAAGGAAATTCGGAAACTTCGTGGCGCGACGGCGTTTCAACGAGGAAACTTGAGACCAGTGCGATTACATGCAGGAGGATTTACAGCACAGTGCAGCGCGGTTACATGCAGATTAAATAACCAGCAATAATTCTACGATTGTAAGTGTCGACAAAATTAGCTAAACAAATTTGCAAATTTGAAACTAAAGTGCTATAAAAATTTCTACATTAAAAATTTCACTGCATTTATGTATAATTAATGCACAATTTCATAGTCAACTAATTTAACTACTTACAGTATAAAACACTATTATGCACTGTAACAGTAGAATTTAGGGGGGAAATTTCTTATTTTATTAATTTAGTGTAAGAAGTATAACAGTGGTCAATTGTAAGAAACCTATGACCCATAAAATCATATTGTAATATATCGATATTTGTAACATACAACATATCTTTCATTTAAAGAAATTAGAGTAAGAAAACAATATATTAAAATTTTTATCCAGATAAAAATAAATAAAAAAGTAACCCACACGCTGAGTGAGTCTCATATCAATAACAACAACATTAAAAAAATAAAGGCGCCCAAAATAAATCAAAACAAATAACAACAATAACAACATATAAAATATAAAAACTATACCAAACAAAAACATCTACACAGTTACGTAGGAACGCTAGTGTACCTTATAAAAAATATTTTATGGATGCGTTCACTAATAAAACAAGATGTATCTGACATAAGGTTTTGATAAAACTATAGCTTTAGTTATTCAGACATTTTTGAAAAGGTTCCGCCAATAATATGCTAGTCTTAATTTTGATAGCATTACTTTCTGTATCCCTTTTCTATGTCAGTTTAATAGTATATTACGTAATAAGTGTTGTAAAAAGCATTTTACGCACGAATGGAAAAGTTACGCACGACGCCGCGTAGCGGCGAGTGCGTAATTCTATGAGTGTGTAATTGCATTACACCATGTATTACGTACTATACTTTACCTACGACCACTACTGTAAATACTTAAAAAACACACCGTCTGCGATCAATGTAAGATTCCTTTATTACGTACGGTAAAAAATCGCACAGCTTGCGAGGTAGAGATATAAAAAAAATAATGGGACATTCTCAGGGACATTATACTGAAAGCAACTTCGGTATGTTGAATATAGTGCTTCCATTTGGTAGAAATACATTCAGTTTTAATGTTTTTAGTCAGTGGCGGCTCGTCGAGGTGGGCAGGGTGGGCACTGCCCACCCTGAAAATTTCAGGAGAATAAACAAAAATTTGTGTATATATTTACCAAAGTAATTTGACAATTCTTATAAAATTAAATCTAAAATGAGTTACCTCTTTTGAAACTCCCGCTACCAAATTTTAAAATTATATGTTAATCATGATCTCGGCAGTAACCAACATAACATTCGGGCTAGCCCGTGGCCGCTGAATTAAACAACGCCGTACCCCAACCGTACCTTGTATGCTTATACGCACCTAGGACTAGACAGTAATCGAAAACATAAGTCGTTCACTAATTTAGAATATTTGGCCCAAGTCGGGCGATCCCGCACACCGCACACAGCTCGCATATACCCATTGAGCACCCATCGAGTGTTATATCGGCCACCTGCTAAGACTTTTCACCAGTGGCTGGAAATATATATATACGTATATTTATTTGCTGTAATTTTGGAACAATTTTTCCCTGCATAGATATTCCAGAAAACAAATTTTAGTCAACGAAATAATAAACCGTTTAATAATATTTTGTAAATCGCGTTAAAAAATAAATATCTACGGTGCTATGTTGAATGTTCTTTGATAATTATAATTATTAATATTATTTTAGCTCGTTACTGTTAAACTGAATTAAAAGTGATTGCTGCGAAATTTTCAATATTTTAATAGATTCGAGTTCGTAAATATGGAAGTGATGTAAATTATTTTTAGGATGATCTCGGCAGCAACCAACATAACATTCGGGCCAGCCCGTGGCCGCTGAATTAAACAACGCCGTACGTTGCCTGCTTATACCCAGATTTTGTGGCTAGGACTAGAAAGTTGTAACGGTTCAATTAAATTTATGGAGGATTTTAATTAAAACTTAAGGACAGCTGGTATATATTCTGTTTAATAATGTTTATGGACCTAAACCATAGGCATCATACATTACCTTTCTTTTCTGGCTACAAATCTAAGCCGTTTAATATATGAAACTCGCAAAAAAGGTAACGGCAGTTTTTGGAATGGGGAGATAGGTTTTTACGTTTTCGTACGGGCTATCGCTAAGGTGCGAGTGTGGAAAATTTTCTGCTATATCTTAACGCTTGTGTTACCCAAAAAGGGGATTTTGTGTCAGGAAATTGAGTGAAAATTGTGTTCCTTTGATGCATTTTGGATAGTACGTATCTTGGAACCTTCTGGTGGAATACAATTGCAGCATTGGCTGGATCTTAGTGCACCTTGGCAATTGCAAAATCAGGCCGTAATATCTAATTTCCCTTATATGATTATTGGGATACTAAATAAGCCACTCTCCATCTCTGTAAGTAATTACTCTATTTTTTTTTCCATTATTCCTCATTTACCTTCTGGTGCATCATATTTTATAGGGCTTTTTACCACGGGCTGACATCCCTTAATTATCAGTAGAGAGAAAAACTTCCATCCCTTGACATTCAACCTTTGAGGCAGCCTCTCAGCTGGTCTTACATCACTGCTACAAGGATCTATATTGTGTCATCGGGGTACGAGCTAGATCTTGGCGGAGTCTCTACTGGGCGTGCTCATTGTGCCGGTGCATCTGCAACTACAGGGTCTCCAGATAAGCAAAACTTATTTCTTTATTTTTAAATTTATTCCTTTGGTTTCTTGCACCGAGGCAAGCAAGTAGAGGTAGATTTATATCTGACTCCTATTAATTGCACCAATTAACAGCTGATCTATATATGTATATATGTTTTTTTTCCTTTCTTTAATAATTTTGTGTAATAATATAAAATACCTATATAAGGTATGTGCATGTTCAGAACCTTCTTTGTGCACTTTCTTTGAACATTACTAAATTACAACTAGTCTTAAACCTACGGTGCAAACCATATGCGTAAACTTATCTGTTAGTTATTATTACTTTTTTTTTTGTTATTCCAAATAAGATAATTCTATGAGCTAATACCGGCTGTCAGTAAGCAAAAGTTGTACCTATGTATTTTCTTATCATTTTTAATTTGTAAACAATTACTAAAACATTCAGAGTTACCTACATATTCATACAAACGATCAGTAAATAGCTTATGGTTGTGTCCCCGATTAATGTTAAACTTTTCCTTTTCTTCTTTTATTGCTTAGTTATTTTTTTCTTCCCAGTCAGTTATATTAGGTTACTATTAGACATTTATATATATATTTTTTTCTTACTAATATCGTTTATTCAATTTGTTTATAAAGAATTAGATAAGGATTAATGATAGATATAACAATTGTCCACCTATCGTGATCACGAGCGGTCTCCCAATTGAGATTTATTCTCATTTATTTATAATTATTTATTTAATAGGTATCGTCGACTTAGATACTTTAGTTGTGATTTGAACATAATAACGTTAATAAATATTAGTAACTGAACTATTTCGTTCTATTAATTTAGTAAATGGAGCATATTAAAATATAACCGGATTAGGTGTTGCTACTAGTTGCTAAATAAGCTATTTTGGGTCAACATTATCTTTTAACTCAATATTTTTAGTAACCGAATATTGAGTAGCTTAGAACCCTAGGGTAAATGGTTACTGGCGCCCTTAAACTAAATGGTCCTCTTAAAGAATGACCGCACCACCAGCTCCGGCTGAAGGCTAGCTTAGAGTTTTGCACTTCCAACTTGGACCCTTTTTTTCCTTTAAGATCAGGGTAAGTACATCAACCCTCAGCGAAACGAGAAGGTAGCAAAGTAATGGGAAACGTAAGTCGTTCACTAATTTAGAATATCTGGCCTAAGTCGGGCGAGCCCGGACATAGCCCGCATATACTCATCGAGTGTTGTATCAGCCAGCTACGGCTTTTCGTCAGCCAGCCAGCAGCGGTTGGAATAATAATATATGTATATTTATATGTTGTAATTTTGTTCTTTAAATGAATTTTTGAACATTAGAACAATTTTTCCAGAAAACAATTTTTAATATTATAAACGAAGTAATAAACCGTTTTATAATAATTTGTAAATCGCGTTAAAAAATAAATATCTATGCTGTTATGTTGAATGTTCTTCGACAATTATAATTATTAAGGTTATTTTAACGCGTTACTGTTAAACTAAATTACGAGTGATGGCTGAGAAATTTTCAATATTTTAATAGATTCGAGTTTGTAAATATGGAAGTGATATAAATTGTTTTTAGGACTTAAATTCGATACATATTTATTTATTTTTTCTAATAATAAAGAAACTGTTCGGTTTAAAAAAATAGCTTCTATTTATTATATTCTTTTTATTTCAATCAGATTTTTAATAAATTATCATTTGAATATACATAATTACATAAAATAACTCTACTCTCCGGGCAAGCCCTTCGACTTCACTCGTATATTCTTCGGGTACTTACGTGTAATCTGCGGTTTGATGTTAGTTTTATTCCATAGATTACGTAGAGATTTTTTATTCCTTGTACTTCACGACTTGGTTGTTTGTAAGTTCTAGGTTAGGATTAGTAGTAGTAGTTTAGGTAAGTTTTTATTGTTTAATAGTTTGGAGTAAAGCAAAATGGCAAGCCGAAAATCGCGAATTGGTGAGTAGCAATGGTTATATTGTTAATATTTCATTATATAAAAAATTTTGTATGTTAACTTTCGATGATAAATTATTTATTTCAAAATTAAAACCTACGGCTGACATGAAAAATTTAATAAATAAAAACAATTGCGGAAGTAACAGATCATTTAGTAAAAATTGGTACAATAAATATGAGTGGTTAACAGGTAGTGAAACCAGAAACAAATTTTATTGTTGGAATTGCTTCCAGTTTGATGAAAAAAGTAAAACTCCGTGGAATTATCTAGGATATTCAGATCTGAAACATATAAATGAATCTCTAAAAAAACACGAGCGATCGGAGGAGCATACATATTCAACATTAAAATTTAAATTATTAGGAAAACAAAACATTCAAACTTTTCTTGATTCTGCATTTCGTGAGAATATTTTAAAACATAATAAAGTCGTGGACGAAAATAGAGACATTGTAAAGCGCCTTATTGATTTGGTTATTTACTTATTTATTAATTTATTTATTTACTTATTAGAATTTTAGTATAATTTATCGTTAGTAATTTCAGTATGTGCTATTGCTATAAAAGTGATAGAGAATTTTACTATTTGTTTAGAGAATTATATTATTTTGTATATATCCTTCTATGCCTTAATCCTTGCCTTAGCCCCTATCCCGGCAAGAAACCACTGTGATGACATTCTCGTTTATTCTTGCTGAACTATTATACTTTTGGAATAACTAATATAATTTTCAGGTATATTTATATTAACTATTTTCAAAATTCGTAAGTTTTTTACACTTTCAAAAGTAAATAGACTAACGTAGATTGCAATTATTATATGATATTAAGTTACATGAGAAAAAATATTTTGCCCACCCATCTCAAAAAGCCACGAGCCGCCACTGTTTTTAGTTAATGTTAAGGGCAAAAAGAATCGAATATGATTTTGATTTTTGACTTAAAAACCTTTACTTGAACGATAACCAACATCAGTGGTCAAAACTCGAACAGTTAACGAGGACGTAAATTAATTAATAGTACCTATACGATAGGTATAGGTATAGGATACGAGACAATGTGATAAAGGCAAATAAATAAGGCGGTAGTTACATCGGATGCGAAAATGTACCGAAATCTATTCACTAAATGTCGGATTAAAACAAATACCTATAATATATTGACTTGTACGCAGTATTACACAATTTGAATCGATTTTACTTGATATGTAATCTCTCTATTACGAATAATTGTTTAGAATTCATATATTTTCGTACCAACAGACAAAAACAACAAATTCGCATCTAATGTAACCACCGCCTTAAGGTTATCTTGGATTACAGAAACACAGAAGAGAAATACATATTAATGCTTAATGAATTAATTAGTTTTTATTATGGATAACTTATATCAAATATGTATAATAAATTAATCAGAGAGTCTTTTTAAGGTAATTATCGTATAAATTAGGTAACTATATGAGAATTATTTATATTTCATACTCATCATATCTTCTATTTTCCTTCAGAATTGTGTATGTTATTAGTTGGCACATCATTTTCAGTGGAATTATGGTCCTTAATTGTGTTAGTTGGGTATTTCAGTTGACCTTAAAACAAATAAAAACAATTTAGTAGGTACATGTCTGCTATTTCCTTCTAAAAATAAATTGATGTAAATTAATAATTGAGATCAATATAAAATTTTGCATAATGAAATATGGTAAGTATGTACATTAGAGCATATACTGCATGGAGGAAGCACATAGTGTTAAAAAGTGTATATACTGTACAGAGAAAGGGCGATAGTTTGGGCACGTTTGGGTATTCCCGCTCTCAGGGGTTGTGTTAGCCAATCACGTGCTTGCGCGTGCAAACTATCTCTTTTTCACTCTGTCACTCGTGTACACTGTCACTGTAAGAGTGCTGCCTCCATGTAGTATATCCTCCAACGTATGTATTGATGATTAATTAGGAACTACTACCTATACAGGGTGGCCAAATGAAAACGAAACAGAACCATTTTCAGGAACTGCGTTAAGATTGTAGAAAAACACTCAGACCCGTCGATTTTAGATTAAAGGGGGGCATTCTTTGCTGGTATTTTTGATTCCACCACTTTCACCCCCAAGCAAGGGTAAGCATCACCCCAAAAAATTTAAATGGCATTGGGGGTTGAGTAATATTTCTTTTGAAAGCTCTTACAATTCTCTTTACAACAGACTTTAAATTTTATAATTCCGCCCAATACTTTGAAAAAAATTTACATTTTAAAATTTAAATTGTGTTTAGATGCTTACTTACTACTTAGTTGTGTGGGTACACATGTTGTAAGTGACCCATTTTTAGGCGTTACGTCAAGAACGCCGCCGGACGCACCACAGGGTTCCCGGAAGCCGACCCCTGTAGAGTGGCGCCGCCAGGGCCAGGGACTTCTGCCACCGACTACCAAGATACCTACAACCGAATGCACACAGAGAAGACTACTCTCCAACGAACATTCACCCTGTTAACACGTCTTTTCACACACAAGTTTTCTGTACGCCAGTTTTCAATAAAATTCTTTATTAGTACCGTTGAGAGAGCGATTATTTCTTGCTGTAGAGCGAAAGCAACCCTCAAGTGGTGACCCCGACGTGATCTTTTCAGTAAAAGTACGCGATTTTGTGCAAATTAGAGTGGTTTTACTTCGCGCAACGCAGCGAGCAACATGAGCCTCAACGAAAAAAACCAAGTCGAAAATTATACCGCGACGGAAGTGAACCATGTCGCAGTGAAACTTCCACGATTTATTTCGGACGATGTAGAGATGTGGCTTCAGGTAGTGGACAAGAAGTTTTCGAATAGCGCGTGTGACAAGTGAAGAGACAAAGTTTAGCTACCTTGTTACTTCTCTAGAGAGGTACGTAATGAGTGAAGTGCGCGATCTGGTGATGAATCCACTCCAAGACAAGCCTTATTCCGCACTTAGGGCAGCTTTAATAAGACGACTGAGTATGTCTCAGGAACAAAAAACGAGGCGACTCCTAGAGCGCGAAGAAATCGGGGACTCGAAACCGTCCCAGTTTTTGCGAAGATTAAAGGCTTTGGCAGGATCTACCGTTTCCGATTCGCTCCTACACACGCTGTGGATAGGGCGCCTGCCGTCTAGTGTCTAGGCAATTCTCGCGACACAGAAGAATGCCGCGTTGGACGACGTCGCGGAGGTGGCCGACGCAGTTATGGAGACAGTAATGCCCGGCACAGCGCTCCAGGAGGTGGCCAAATCCAGTCCAAAGGACGACAGACTGAATCGCATCGAGCAACAGGTAGTGGAGATGTCGCAGGCAATGGCGAAGCTATTCACGACGAGTGAACCGCGGCGACCGACGACGAGAACACCTAGATCGCGTTCGCAAGACCGATCTCGAAGCCGTGACAGTGACAGTGGTCAGTGCTGGTATCATCACTGAGACGAGACGGGCAATCGGTGATGACGAACAGCGACCCGTGCCCGATTCCGCGCCGTTTGTACGTTACGGATACGTACTCCAAGGTCCAGTTTCTCGTCGATACGGGTGCTGATCTTTGTGTATATCCGCGTGCGCTAGTTAAATCGTCGCGATCGAAATCAATGAATGAACTTTCCGCGGCAAATGGTACCTCAATTGCTACGTACGGCACAGTGACAATGACCTTAAACCTCCGGTTGCGTCGTTGTTTTACATGGCAATTTGTCGTCGCAGACGTCTCAAAACCGATAATTGGTGCAAACTTTTTATCTTTTTATGGACTACTGGTGGACGTGTGCAATAAAAGACTACTTGAAGAAACAACGCGAATTACGTCACCAGGCCAACTCGTGCATTCTGCGACACCGTCAGTCAAAACGATTTCCGGAGAATCCGTGTTTCATCGCTTACTCAAGCAGTATTCGGACTTTACGCGTCCTGCAGCTCCTGTGGCTGTACAACACCAAACCAGGCACTATATTGAGACAACACCTGGTCCCCCCGTCGCTGAGAAGCCACGTAGATTAGCGCCAGACAAATTGCGGGCAGCGAAAAAGGAATTCGACGATATGCTAAAATTAAGTATCGCCCGTCCTTCGAGCAGTGCGTGGGCGTCACCTTTACACCTCGTGCCAAAAAAGGGTGAAGAATGGCGACCGTGCGGCGATTATCGTAGGCTTAACGCACGAACGCGTCCAGACCTATATCCTGTGCGACATATTCAGGACTTTGCACAATCTCTTCGAGGTAGGAAATTATTTTCGACCATCGACCTGATTCGCGCTTTTCACCAAATCCCCGTCGCGGAAGAAGACATTCCTAAGACGGCGATCACGACACCTTTCGGGTTATTTGAGTTCACGCATATGACCTTTGGGTTACGCAATGCAGCTCAAACCTTCCAACGCTTCATCGACGAAGTTTTACGCGACTTAGATTTCTGCTACGCGTACATCGACGACATCCTTGTAGCTTCATCGTCTGAAGAGGAACACCTGCGTCACCTGGAAACACTGTTCCAGCGACTGCGGAAGTACGGCGTCGTAATTAACTCCACAAAGTGCGTGTTCGGACAAAGCAAAGTGAAATTCCTCGGTTATCTGGTGTCAAGTGAGGGCACACGGCCGCTTCCCGAAAAGGTCGAGGCAATAAAAGACTACCCGCTGCCTACGACAATAAAGCAATTACGACAATTCCTTGGCGCACTTAACTTTTACCGCCGGTTCGTACCCAACGCAGCAGGTACCCAGGCGCCACTGAATGACCTGCTTAAAGGGGATGTGAAAGGGAAAGCACCCATAAATTGGACAGAAAACGCGAAAAGTGCTTTCG